TCAAATTAAAAACAATAATAATGATAAATAAAATAAGGGAACAATTCTTTTAATAAAATCTATACCATTTCTATATACAAACAAGAAGACAGAAGCAGAACTGAAGAAAGTAATCCCATTTACCATAGCCACAAAAAGTCTAAGATACCTAGGAATAAATCTAAGCAAGGAAGTCAAAGACCTCTATAAGGAAAATTATGAAAATCTTGAAAAAGAAATTGAAAAGGACACAATAAATGGAAGGAAATCCCTGGTTCCTGGATTGGGAGAATTAATATAATCAAAATGGCAATTCTGTCCAAATTAATCTACGTATTTAATGCAATCCCTATAAAATTACTAGAGACTTTCTTCACAGGTATAGAAAAGACAATCATAGACTTTGGAATCATAAAATACCATGTATTGTCAAAGCTATCCTGTGCAAGAAGAATGGAGTGGGTAGCATCTCATTCCCTTACCCTAAAATATATTACAAAGCTGTGATAATCAAAACAACATGGTATTGGCACAAAAACAGACACAAGGACCAATGGAACAGAGTAGATACTCCAGAAATAAGCCACAAAATATACAGCCAACTGATCTTTGACAAAGGGTACTAGTCAATCCAGTGGTAAAAGGAAAACCTCTTTAGTAAATGGTGCTGGAAAACTAGGTTTCCACCTGCAAAAAGGTAAATCTGAACCCCTATGTCTCACCATTAACAAAAATCAACTCAAAGTGGATCAAAGCTCTAAACCTAAGACCTCAAACTATAAAATTACTGGTGGAAAATGCTGAGGAAACTCTGGGAGACATTGGAGTAGGCAAAGACTTCTTAAATAAGACTACCAAAGCACAGGCAATAATCCCAAAAATAGACAAATAGGATTACATCAGAATAAGAAGTTTCTACATGGCAAAAGATACAGTAACTAACGTGAATCAACAACTCTCGTAATGGGAGAAGATTTTCATAAACTATGCCTCAGATAAGGGACTGATAATGAGAACGAACAGAGAACTTAAGCAGTTTATCAAAAAAGAAAAAAAAAATCTAATAATTAACCCAATTAAAAGATGGGAAAAGGAGCTGAATAAACAACTCTCTAAGAAAGACATAAACACAGCCAAAAAAGCATATGAAAAAAGACTCAATATCTTGCATCATAAGGGAGATGCAGATCAAAACCACAAAAGAGATTCCACCTAATCCCGGTCAGAATGGTGAAGATTTAAAAATAAATAAATAAATAAAAAATAAATGATAAATGCTAGTGGGAATGAGGTGAAAGGGGAACCCTCCTGCACCGCTGGTGGGAATGTAAATGGGTACAGCCACTGTGGGAAACAATATGGAGGTTTCTCAAAGATCTACAAATAGAACTACCATATGATTCAGCAATTCTACTCCTAGGTATCTACCCAAGGGGAAGGAGAATTCTCAGTCAGAAAAGTACTTGGACCTCTACATTTATTGCGTCATTATTTACGATTGCTAAGACTTGGAAACAACTCAAGTGTCCACAAACAGATGAATGGATTGAAAAAGTTTGGCATATATACTCTATGGAATACTACTCAGCTATAAAAAACAAGACCCTGGCCTTTGATAGAAAGTGGACAAATATGGAAGATTTACTTTCAAGTGAAGCAAGCCAGTCTATGAAAGAGAGACACTGTATGTCTCCACTTAACATATACTGACTGTCTGCACTATATGATGGAAACAGAGATTAGAGGACATAGAAACGTTAAAAATAGTTATAGACTCTGGAGACAATGTGGGAAGAGGGCGAGAGATGAGGGAGAGTGTAAGGAAAGAAATTAAGGAGGAAAATAGAGAGGGAAGACAGTTAAGGGACTCAGAAATAGGTTATTATCTGTTGATGATAATGTGTTTTGTATCCTCAACTGGACTAGTGTGAAGCATATTCGTGTTGGGTAAATTCAACTTACAAGCAAAGTGATGAATAGTGATTAAAGTATTTAATTTTTTAAAAATAATTTAAAAAAGAAAAAAAGAAGTGATGGATGAGTATGACAAGAATTGGAGAGAGAAAGTGGAGGCAGTAATGACAGATAGCTCTTTTGGGACTATCTAAAGCAGCAGCAGAAAGATAAGGCAAGAGCGACAAAAGATTGGGATCAAGGGGACATTTAGAAACACAGGAAGCAATGCATACTATTAATAGAGTATATTTATATTCTGCTGGGAATAATCCAGAGGAGAAGGGGGGGTAAGTTTATTGGAAGTGCTTGAGGAGGTAGGGGATGGGCTCTGAGAGGAGTCTCTCGGTTGTACGGGTGGCATATATTGGAATCTCACCCTCTTGTCTAATCCCACATCTGATCAAGTGGGTAAGTCCGAGATGTAATAGTGTTTTATTTTCCACAATCTGAAAATAAATGGGTTTATATTTTAAAGTATCCCTTGATTGTACTAAGTGGGATTGTTTTAAATGGGTCTGTATATACAACAAAAGCTATGTAGGTTTAGAAAAAAAAAAAAACAGCATTATTGAGATATAGTTTATATACCATACAGTTCACCCTCTGAAAATGTACAATTTGGCTGGCCCCATAACCTTTAAGACATTATCCTTTAGTGACTGGCTTCTCTCTAAGGCTCATCCATATTGTAGCAAGTATCAGTACTTCATCCCTTTTTGTGGTTAAAACCTGCATTGGTGGATAGTGCTAACAGGAGCCTGTACCTGTCTGCAGTCCACCCACATCAGTGTCAGTGACGAGTGACATCCAATCCAGATCACACACTGGGCTGAAGGTGAACCTATCCTTTCTTGACATATTGGTACATTTGCCATTAAAATTTATCCTGAGACAATGAGAGTCAAACCTCACAAGGCATAATCTAGCTATAGTTGGATCCACTTTTTTTTTTTAATTCATGATTCAATGTTGTCCCATTGTGCAACATTTTTGTAATTTGATCAATTGACCTTTGGTGCATAATCAGATAGTGATATGGATAATATTGATCTTGGTCAGAGACTCTGGTTGCATCTTGGAACCATCCTAATACCAGATGCAAGAGGTAAACCTTATTTATTTAACATGAGTGTAGGATAACTTTACCCCGAAGGCATGAGGCACCATGAGTTGAGTCCTGTCTCCTGTCCTCAGCTGTCTGGGGATTCTCTGCAAACTCTCAGGAGTCGATTCTCCTGTTTCTCTCTTTCAGTTTTGGGGGCCCAGAGAGAGAAGACCAATGGGAAGCAGACATTGTCTAGAAATCAATATCCCTAAGCCCTGACTTTCCAAGACCCTGAGCTTGGTGAAGATAAGGTAACTGCCAGTATCAAGCGTCAATCCACTGGAGGAAAAAAAAAACCAGAAGCAATTGTGTTCTCTGGAGGGCAGGGCTCTGAGTACAAAGCGTCTCATGTTCTCAAAGTAGGAAAGAGTCCACAGTTAATATTTGGATGGGCCCACGCTGCACATCTTTCTCACTGAAGTCCAGGCCTGCCTCACCACAGAAAAAGGGCCCTTGCTGTGCACCTGTGGAGAAGGGAGTTTGGCTGAAGGAAGGCAGGGCGAGCCTTCCTTGTTTTAAGCAGAGTTTTGCAAAGGGAGCGGTCCTGGAAGAAAAGCAGAGCATAAGTGTTGGACCCAGTTGCTTTGAAATCCAGCTCTAGAAACCCTCTGAAACCAGCCTTCCATAGATGGTTGATTCCAAGGACAACATTGGTCTGTGTGAAGAACATGCACGTTACATGCATGCAAGGTGCCTGAGTGGTGACTCTTCTCTTGATTGTAAAGCTCTTTGGGCTCTTTTGAGACCAACAGGCATTCACGTTCTTATCCTCACCCCGTTGGTGTGCCTCCCCTAGAGAATGCACTCACATTCTTGCTGAGTGAATAAATGGTATTTAAGCCACTTTATGATCTGTTTATTGAACAAATGAGTTATACTTTGTGGTATTGTTGGGGCTACTGATGTGCAGAGTCCTTAAATAGCATGCCCTCAATCACAGGAAGCAAGTGATGGGATGGTCCAAGGAACCCTCTAGCTCCCACTGACCGGCAGCCTGGGCCTTCTGGTCCACATAACCTGCTTCCATCCCTGCAAGCTCCAGCTTCCCCAGGCCCACTCGAGTTGCTCCCATGAGTACAAATCAGAGGTCAACTGAAGTGAGGTGCGGCCTGGATAGGACCTGTCCCGGCACTGAAGCTAGGGTTCTTTGTCTGCCCTCATAGGAGCTCATATGGGAGCTCTGTGCCCCTGTCCTCACACAGGGGACCTGGAGTGGCCGTGCTCACCTTTCACTCTATGGTACACACCCCTTACAACACCCAGACTTGTCCCTAGGACAACTGGGCCTCATCTCTGTATCAGGGCAGGCATGAGTATGCCAGAATGGCTGCCTGTCCCTTCAGGACTTTCCCCTACTTTGCACTTAGGTAGTTGCCCAGCCAGACTCTGTCTTATTTAGATTGCGACATTTGCTGCTTTCCATTAATTACATCTAAGTGGAACATTTAAGCAATGAGAAGTTCTAGCACCACTCCCCGCCTACGCCTACAGTGTTTACCCCTTGTGTACCATACTGATTTGCACTCACGACAGTTTATTTTAAAAGGTCTTCCCTCTTAAACAGTTTCCCTTTCGCCCTGTCACCTGGTTTCTTGACCAGCTCCAGAGGGCTCTGGAGGCCTCTATTTAGTTCTGCTGTAGCTTGAACTGATAAACAACAATAGCAACACACACACAATCAGAAGTGCTTCCAGCATTTTTAACTTTGATGATTTCAGTGGGGTTGGTGTGCAACATTGCTAAGTGTTTTTTTAATGATAATTTTTTTTTTTTTTACTAGAGGAGGAAACTAGCAATTATTAAATAGCACAAACATTCTATCTTTTTTTTTTTTATTGGAGAGGTTTTTGCTATAGGGCATGTGCGCTCGCCAGACAGAGAGAGAGAGAGACAGAGAGAAAATGAGAAATAAAACCCGGGGGTGGGGTGGGGATGGCCGCGGCCCAATCCCTTCTCCTCCATTCTCCTCTTGGGATCTTGGGCACGCATGTACACGTGCCCAGCGTGAGTTTTAAGCCACCGGGTCCGGGATGCGAACCGCGGTCGACTGCATGGGAGTCCAGTGACATAGCCATTACGTTAACTGCTAGTCCCTAAACATCCTATCTTTTTTTAAAAAAGGTTTATTTCCTCCATGAGTGAAAGACAGGCACCTGCAACAGGATTCTAACTCTGCAGTCCACACCCAGCTTTAGCTGGCCGGGATTATGGGCACGCGTATGCCTGACACGCAAAGTGAGGTTTCCAAACAAAATCTGGGACTTCCCCTGTGGATCCAGCATCACAGAGTGTTTCACGGCCACTGCAGCTGGCCTCTGTCCTTAATTTCTTACAACTAACCTTAAAAAAAAAAGTTGCCAAAGGGCTCGTTCACTCATCGGAGAAAGAGAAAGAGAGAGGAAGTAAGAAAGCATCCTCACGAGGAGTGGTCATGCTGTAATCCCTTCTCCTCCATTCTCCTCTTGAGATTTTGGGCACAGATGGACATGCCCGGTGTGTTTTCCAAGCTGTGGGTTTCAGGAATCAAAACCAGACAGTCATTCATGTAGGATCCAGGTCACAAGGAAACCAAGTTATGAAGCTTATAAATAGTAAAACATGACTGAAAACTGGGTCAACCCCAGGCCTACATTTTTTTCCTACTGTGTGAGAATGCTGCTTCCAAGAATGTTATCTTAAAGAATTTGTATATTCTAAAGGGTAGTTCTGTCCTAAGTGCCAAGTCATTCCTCAGAGGCTGTGACATCAGTATGACATATAAAGTTGCCGGAAGCTGTGCTCCAGCCGGGGTGGGTGCACAGGAAGGCGACACGGCATAAAGTGGTTAAGGAAATGTAACTTAGCAAGCTTAATAGACATTTCCTCACATGTGATCTGCTTTGCTAAGATGGCTGCATAAAGCAATACAGAGTAGCATTAGGAGGTGGTCAGGTTAGATCAGCTAAAGCACCTAAGTGGAAGCAAGTTTCAATGGGGTGAGCACCATGGTGTGAGAAAGAAGTAAGCAAGGCCTTTCGTGGAAGCCAGGCCACAGAGGTCTGCCAGCAACAGCAAGTCCATCCCACTGCCAGGATGAATCCATGGGGTGGACACCCATGAACGACCTGGGGAGGCTGAGGTTGGGCACGTCAATGCACTGAATCAGCCATGACTCCTTTTATTAGGAAAGAAAACACAAGCAAGTTCCGTGACCTCAATTATATGCCTAGGCTGACAAATGACCTAAGGCAAATAATTCTACCTGTTATGACTCAAATCTTCTCTATATAAAATGGGAGAAATGATATTGTCTAAGTAATCAACTCCCTTCATTTCCTAGAGATGCTGGAACAACTTCCAGAAAGTATTCTCAGTCTACAAATTGATGCTGGTTATGCTCGATGTACAGTTCTCTATTTCTTTGTCCCAGTCTCATTGGAAAAGAAGCTTTCTGGCATAAAATGCAGAAACTACACAGAGCTACTATTTTAAAACTCAGTTATTCCAATCAAGCACCCTTTGTGGCTATAGATTCATTAAACTAAATGTCTTAGAGATGACTCAGCCCAGTGATGGAAAATATCTGATGTGCAACACTCCAACTCTGGGGCCATTCTGCAGGTAGAAACCTTCCACCCTGGGGGCCCGTAAGCAGGTAGATAGTGACTTTCAGCTTATTCTCAGAGCCTGGCAACAGCCCCAGAATCCTGCTCCATCAAACATGCCAACTGACTACAGCTGGCACTTGAGTGGAGCCCTACAGGCCACCTGTGATCTATTGATGACTCAGTCCTTTCAATTTATAGAAGAAAAAAAAACACAGAAAGATCAGAGAAAGAAAACAAAAACAACAACAAAGATCTCACAGCCAGTGCAGAGCCAGCACGAAGATACCTTCTGATTTCCAGCTCCATATCCATGTCTTCTTATACCTTTAAAGCTAAAGAGGAGAGGCAAGAGGCAGGCCTTCAGAAGAAGATTACTCCATGGCTCCTGAGAACTAGTGATTTCAGGGAAAAAAGAGAAATGAAGATTTCCTACTGATAATTCAGCCTCCAGCCACAAACTTGAGTGGTAGGGAGCTCCTCTAGCCTTCTCTCTGTCTCTCTCTGCTTCCGTCTTCTCAGTTTTTGTAATTTTTCCTTTTAAAAAAAATTTAAGGTAAAGTATTCTCTTGCTTTTAGCCCCGCCTTTAACTTGTTAATAATCCCCTCTCCCGGGAACCAGCAGTTAGCGTAATGGCTATGTCGCTGGACTCCCACGTAGTCGACTGCGGTTCGCGTCCCGGACCCGGTGGCTTGAAACTCACGCCGGGCGCGTGTGTGTGTGTGCCCAAGATCCCGAGAGGAGAATGGAGGAGAAGGGATTGCAGCATGACCATCCCCCCTGGGGGGTGATTTCTCGCTTTCTGTCTCTATGTCTCTCTCTGTCTGTCTGGCGAGCGCACGCGCCCTACAGTGAAAATCTCTAAAAAAAGAAAATAAATAAAATAATCCCCTCTCCCCCTCCCACCTGGAGAGGCAAGAGGCAGGCCTTCAGAAGAAGACTCCTCCATGGCTTCTGAGAACTAGTTTTGCACACCACACAGTTTCCTATTTTGTGCTTTTTTTAAAAAAAATTTTAGTTTTTTTTTCCTTCTTTTTTTCTGTTTCTTTTTTTTCTCTCTCTGTTTCCTTTTCTTTCTTTCTTTTTTTAAAATCTCATCTCTCTGCCCCTCAATCTCCATTTACTGTATTTCTAGATGGATCTAAAGGAACTATAACCAAACATACAAATACTATTAGGGTTAACATATTCCTCATTATTTATTGAATCTGTTGCACAAAGGGATCACAACGGAACAGCAAAGAGATTTCAGATCACCTCTTTCTGCACACTCCTGAACATCCAGATTGAACTTCAAGAATAAGGAAGAGGGAACCAGCAGTTAGCGTAATGGCTATGTCGCTGGACTCCCACGTAGTCGACCGCGGTTCGCGTCCCGGACCCGGTGGCTTAGAACTCACGCCAGGCACGTGTGAGCGCGTGCCCTAGATCCTGAGAGGAGAATGGAGGAGAGGGGATTGCGGTGTGACCATCCCTCCTGGGGGGTGATTTCTCGCTTTCTGTCTCTATGTCTCTCTCTGTCTGGCGAGCACACGCGCCCTATAGTGAAAACCTCTCAAAA